ACATGATTAGCCCATTAGGGGCCACAGCGACGAGATATTTCACAGTGTTGCGTGATTTGTACTGGCTGAAAGTGTCACTCCTTGAGTCGTGGTTTGTGGCTCTCTGCATGGCACTTTCGGCACAGTCAATGATGCAGGTGGTTCGAGGGTAGTTCCTCTGAAACGACAAGGGCATGGTGGCACGAATGGTCTCTCTTGGAAGCCAGGGGATCAGGACTTTGAACTGTTCACCCATCACGTCAATCCAGTGACTAATCACAATGCTTGCCATGGATGTAGACACATTGAAGCGATGAGCAATATCTCCTAATATTAGGTTTAGTTTTAGCTTCATCAAGGTCATCAGGATTTGGTCAACAACAGGAAGGGTAATTGTTAGCTTACTGAAAGGCAACAACACTGTCACCAGGGTGAAAAATTGAACCATACGCACTCCTGTATACAGCCGGGACCTAGCATCATCAATGACCGTGGTGCTAGTCACAGTAGGACCCATTTCTGCCTCGCACTGTGTGGCCTTGTCAACTTTAACAGACTGTGTTGTTGAACAGTACATGTGGTCAATATGTGACGGATCCTCCCATTGGGTCTGGGCATCTCGAAATTTTGGTGTAGCAGGCTCGGCCTCACAGGCAGGCTGACAGGTTTCAGGAGCATCTAAAAAGGGAAGAGAAAACATGGATGGAGCAAAATTAATTAAGGCATAGACCATTTCTTTTACTGTGCGTCTTTGTTCCTGCCAGGTAAAAAATACATTCCAGGAGAGAAACACATGATTGAATCGAAAGAAAAAAATCACAAAGTCTAAGAAAGTAAACAATAAGAAAAGTAAAATATTAAGTTTTCCACAACACAACAAACATCACAATGGCAAAATGTGTATTACAACATTGCACTCACACACGCGGGCGGGGGCGTACGCACACACGCACACACACACATCATCACAACAGCCTGCCACCTTGCATTACATTTATGATGTAGACTAAGGCACACGCAGGCATGCACACACACACACACACACACAATTAATGATGTATCGTGGGCATTGTTTGTCCCATATCCAAAACAATCAACTGCCTCAGCAAAATACCGGTAGCAATGTTAGTGTATGACAACTTGTTCATAATTAACAGTATTGTCAACTTCATAGCTAAATTTGCTTTACTTACCCTCAGATGCAAGTCTGCGTTTCTTTATCTGGGTGGAGACAGTGGTCCGCTGAGTGAGTTGACGCCTCTTTGGCTGGGGAGGACGATTGTATCCCAACCACAACTCTGGGAAAGGATTATCCTTGGTTGGTTTTTGGTCAACAAAGTGATAGGAACAAACATAAACGGTACGGGGTGGTTTCTTTAGATTTAATGCCTTCAGCCAGGTCCTTGATTCCGAGTCGGTATCAGGCTTGCGAAAAAATGTAAACAATGGAGCGCATGGACATTGCCTCTTCGTAGCTGGTTTGTGGTCGTAACACTCTCTATCTAACCACTCGTTCAGGTGCTTTCGCGAGTTTTTGCAACCAACTACCGCACACGTCGTTCCCGAACCACTTTTATTCATGTTGAAAGTTAATTGGTATCCTCTTTGTCACTGCGATATCAGTGCTTTGTCGGCACAACGGAGCTAGGTAGCATAACCAGCCCGCCAAAACGGAAGTGGATTGCATAAACGGGAGGAGCTTAGGATGTAGAGCGGAAACGGCTCAAAAACTTGTGTATACATTTGTATTAAGGACTGAGGAAGTGGCATGTCTCTATATAAATAGTCTCTGGTAAAATCCTGCAACACGATTATATATGCTCACACACACACACACAATCTCTCTCAGACACAGACATACACTCTCTCAAACACAAAGACACTCTCACAGACACTCTCTGTCACACATGCACATACAGACACAGAAGTAAAATACCTGCAACACGATTCACAGTGATTATATTTGCATATGCTCACACACACTCTCTCAAACACACACACTCTCACACACAAACACTCTCAAACACACACACACACTCTTAAACACACACATATCTCTCAGACACAGACATACACTATCTAAAACACACAGACACACACACTCTCTCTCACACACACTCTCACAGACACTCTCTTTCACACATGCACACACAGACTCTCTCACACAGACACAGATGCTCTCACTCACACACACACACACACAACGAATGTCCCTGACCCCTAAGACTAACCCTGACCCTAACCCTAACCTACAGTACCATCTATAAACAGGATTTTTTGCATAAGTAAAATCATACAACAGAGTGATTCACAGGGATTATATTTGCATATGCTCTCTCTCTCTCTCACACACAAACACACACACACACACACACACACACGCACACACACACACACACACACACAAGGAATGTCCCTGACCCCTAAGACTAACCCTGACCCTAACCCTAACCTACAGTACCATCTATAAACAGGATTTTTTGCATAAGTAAAATCATACAACAGAGTGATTCACAGGGATTATATTTGCATATGCTCTCTCTCTCTCTCTCTCTCTCTCTCTCTCTCTCTCTCTCTCTCTCTCTCTCTCTCTCTCTCTCTCTCACACACACACACACACACACACACACACACACACACAACGAATGTCCCTGACCCCTAAGACTAACCCTAACCCTAACCCTAACCCTAACCTACAGTACCATCTATAAACAGGATTTTTTGCATAAGTAAAATCATACAACAGAGTGATTCACAGGGATTATATTTGCATATGCTCTCTCTCTCTCTCACACACAAACACACACACACACACACAAGGAATGTCCCTGACCCCTAAGACTAACCCTGACCCTAACCCTAACCCTAACCCTAACCTACAGTACCATCTATAAACAGGATTTTTTGCATAAGTAAAATCATACAACAGTGATTCACAGGGATTATATTTGCATATGCTCTCTCTCACACACACACACACACACACACACACAACAAATGTCCCTGACCCCTAACCCTAACCTACAGTACCATCTATAAACAGGATTTTTTGCATAAGTAAAATCATGCAACACAGTCATTGACAGGGATTATATTTGCATATGCTCGCTCACACACACACACACACACACACACACACACACACACACACACACACACACACACACACACACACACACACACACACACACACAACACACACACACACACACACACACACACACACACACACACACACACACACACACACACACACACACACACACACACACACACACACACACACACACACACACACACACACACACACACACACACACACACACACACACACACACACACACACACACACACACACACACACACACACACACACACACACACACACACACACACACGGGTTTTTGTGAATAACAAGGACACTTCAGCCCAAACCAGTCTGTTGGTGTATTAGGGGGACACCCCTTTCCACTTGCTCTACAGCGATGTGGAGGGTATCAAAAAATCTGTTTTGAGCCATACAACACAGATTTCACTTCAGAATTTGTTTAAACACAACACAACTTATAATGCAACAACCTGACAATATACTTAATTATGAGGACAAATATAATTAGGTGTCTAACCCCACCCATGACACAAAACTATATTATAAGGACCTACTGTACAGTAGCTATACAACACACATAGATGTCATTAATGTGTATTAGAGGGACAAACATGAATTAAGGGGACATGGCTAAACATACACAAAAGTGATAGCATTGTGCATTAAAATGACATATCTGATTTATGAGGACAACTGATTAAACTTAAAACACAGTACTGTGCACTACAATTATGATATTTTGATATTTTGAATGGTGATTCAGCCATGTTTTTTATAGGGTGCATTCAAAGATCTGACATTTGTGTGATTTATCAACATGCCATTTTAAAAGACATGAGGACATATAACAGTATGCACCTTTAGTGAACAAGAAGCAATGTTTAATAAGTGCTCACTTTCAACATTACAGACATTGCTGGCAATATTAAATCACAAAATAAACAGTATGCACCTTTAGTGAACAAGAAGCAATGTTTAATAAGTGCTCAGTTTCAACATTATAGCAATATTAAATCACAAAATAAACTAATAATTTTCTTGTGTTAAGGAAAAATAATGCATGAAGAGAGATTTAAAGGGTTAGTTCACCCAAAAATGAAAATTAAGTCATTAATTACTCACCCCCATGCTGTACCAACCCCGTAAGACCTTCGTTCATCTTCGGAACACAAATGAAGATATTGATTAAATTTGAGAGCTGTATAACTACCACATTGGCTCCTAAGGGACTGCCTCTTGACGGCCCAGAAAGTCAATGAAGAAAATGTTTAAATATCCCAAGTGACTACCGTGGCTCAACTATAAGTTTAACAAGCAACGAGAATACTTTTTGTGTGAAAAAACAAACAAAAATAACGACTTTATTCGACTATTCCTTTTCTTCCTTGTTGGCCTGAGACGAGAGTTCAAGAGATTTCCACGACGCATGCGCGAGAATTGTGATCTCCTTTAACTACCTCAGTTCAGTTCTCGCGCATGCGTCGTGGAAATCTCTTGAAGTCTCGTTTCAGGCCAACAAGGAAGAAAAGGAATAGTCGAATAAAGTCGTTATTTTTGTTTGTTTTTTTCGCACACAAAAAGTATTCTCGTCGCTTGATAAACATATAGTTGAGCCACGGTAGTCACTTGGGATATTTAAACATTTTCTTCATTGACTTTCTGGGCCGTCAAGAGGCAGTCCCTTAGGAGCCAATGTGGTAGTTATACAGCTCTCAAATTTAATCAAAAATATCTTCATTTGTGTTCCGAAGATGAACGAAGGTCTTACGGGGTTGGTACAGCATGGGGGTGAGTAATTAATGACTTAATTTTCATTTTTGGGTGAACTAACCCTTTAAAATGAAAAACTCATACAGGTTAATAACAACTTGAAGGGGAAAAATGATGGCAAATAATTTTTTGTTGGTTGAACTATCCATTTACAGCCTTCAAAAGAAGTTTAAAACATTTTTACCACATTAGAACAAAACAGCAGGAACAAAAACCAAAAATACTTAATGTTGCACCTGTTTCCTTTTCAGTGACACGCCCCGATTTCGAACAAAATCTCGAATGTTTTGCACAGAGCGACTAGCTAAAGCAGGATGCTCCGCAGTCTTGCACTGTTCACATTCAATTTTACTGACGAGTTTACCCCTTGCAATGTGGTTCCGGAAATGTTTCATTACTGCTGAAATTTCTTTTGGAGACCACATCTGTTTCACTTTTCTTCTTGCATCATCTGTTTTGGCTGCACCAAAAATCACTACAAAAGAAAAAAACAGATTGGGTTGAACAACACAAAGGCCAGAATTCAGTCCGTCTCAACAAACCACACTCTCCTCAACCTCTCGTCTTGAGTCTAGTTTACTGCTGATTTGTAATCTGAGTCAAAAGTGATGGGACGCTGTTTTAGATAAACAATTTTCAGTTTTTTGGCCCTGTTACAAAATGAACAGCCAACAAGTAACTGTAGTCAGGTGAAAATCAGTCATTCTGCTTGAATTACAAGAGCAGATTGATTGCTGTAAAAGATGGGAAGTGCCTCCACTCATTACAAACTTGGTTTTAGCAACCAACAACTCAACTCGATATTCCCACCGAAAAACCGTGATACCACCCACAACACATATCGCGATACTCTCATGGTGTACCGAACACACCCCGCCCCTGCTACCCCACCTAGCCCTGGCTCATTGGAGCTCATGTCTTATGTGTTGGCTACACAACGAATACAGCGTTGTAGCCTAACCACCATTAATCACATATAAATTGTAATAAGCTCAGTGTTTTGTTACTTTAGATAATACATGAATATCAGATGATGTCACCAACGTCTCCTCACTGATATCACTCACTTCTAAAACTTGTCCGCCTCCATCTTGAGTACCTGATTTGGCAAGATCGATACGGCAGTCGCAATATAAATCTGTAATGTTTGTTATTTTGAATAGAAATCATCGTTCAAAGCATTCATTCTCGTCTTCTCCAGTTTATTTGTGTTCAAATACATGCAAATACAGCATCCGCCACGGCTATTAGTCCAATGGTGCGCATTTTTGGAGAAATAATGATTTATCACATTTGTAAAATATTTCATCATACAAAATGACATTCGGAATGACATTCCTATTTATTTTCCACTGAATTATGCAATCTGAAGAGCTCAAACTGCGAATGCAGCGAGATATGCTTCTCCTTTTCCTGATTTGCGTCAAATTATGATCTTAGCGCGTACTCATTCGCTGTAAAGCTGTCAATCATCTTACGTGGTTCAACGTGACCATTATCCTGGCTCCTCATTCTGACATCCATGATAACAAAGCTAAAGTAACATCTCTTCATCTGAAACAAGAAGCTAATAAATGCACGATTTGAAGTATTTGTGATTTGTGTGTGATTTTCCTGCGATTTGAGTATTCATATGAAAAAAGAATGTTTACAGTATGCATGCTAGGTAACCATAGCCCATAGCTTCGAATAAAATGCTAAATATAACATTTAAAAAAATTGTTTGACTTGAAACCAATTTAAGCCACGACCGGAATATGATTCAAATGTGCTAATGGTTGTGCTAATGCACCTGCTGCAGGAGCTACTCTATTCCATACAATAATTAAGAAAAAAAGAAGTCAAATAATGTTTCAAGAATAGTTATTTTGTTGTTTGTTTTGTAACAAGACTAAAGATAATAGGCTTGTCAGTAACATAGACAGTATTCGGTAGGTACTCAAGATGGCGGCAGCCAACTGGAAAAAGAGCGGTTGACGTAAGAGGTCATGTGACTGATATTCATGTATAAGCAAGGTGTAATCTTTCAAATTCTGTCTATTTGATGCTCTTAGATGTGGCGTGACAGATCACTGTACTAGGCTCCTCATTTAAACGGCAGCGCAGAGCACGAGTAAACGCGATCATCTCTTCCTCAGTAACAGAATAAACATGAATGGACACCCGTAGGTATGATGACAGACACAGTATACTTACTGAACGACGTTATAACTCGTGTAATCACTCAATCAGTGTTTCAACAGCGGAAATGCGTCAATATAACGCTTAGTTTTTCACATAGCTTTATTTTTGCCTCAAGCAAGTCAGTCAGTATCCAAAACTTGTTGGTTCGCTAACTATTTCACTAGGGCTGGGCAATATATCGCACGATATTGTTATGCGCATCTAATCAGTAAAGCCGGTTCCTTGATTAGTAGTAAATCACCTTCACCTGCTTTCAGATGGACGATATGAGTGTTAAATTAACCCTCAAGAGTGTTAAAGTTAATGAGATAATTAAGTGATTAATTTAGTGATGATTGAGCATTATTGAAGACACCTGATGATCACAAGCAGAATCGCTGAAGGACAAAATCACAAATTGTAAGTCACCGTTATGGAGATCAGTGTTTGCTTTAGTTGTGCTCTTGACACTTTTACTTTAAATTTTGTTTGTTTGCTGTTTTGTTAGTTTTTTTTTTTTTTAAACAACTTTTGAGAACTCCATCAATTATATTTAACATTCTGGACATTTATGCAGAATCTCAGTTATACACTAACCAACAGAATAAATTATAGACATAAATATCAAATGATGAATGTCATTATATGACCAACATCATTTTACTATTGTTTATTTTTGTTCATCTGACAGATATAACTCAGATGCAAAAGCAAATTAAAATATAAGATTTATATTATAAGGGTCAAGAGCCCAACTAAAGCAAACACTCATCTCCATAACGGTGGCTTACAATTTTAGATTTTTTTCTTGTGATTCTGCTTTAGGTGTCTTCAATAATGCTCAATCATCACTCATTTAATCACTTAATTATCTCATTAACTTTAACACTCTTGAGTGTGGACTCATATACACTCCCAGGTGTGTTAGTTTAACACGGGAGATTTTGTCCTGACGAAGAGCCGTAGTTCACTGACCAGCTGAGCCATATCGCATTAAATATCGCTGGCGATACGTCCTCGATATTAACGCGATTTGGCTCAGCTTGTCAGTGAACTACGGCTCTTTGTAGTAAATGCCGCTCCATCTGAAAGCAGGTGAAGGTGATTTACTACTAATCAAGGAACCGGCTTTACTGATTAGATGCGCATAACAATATCGTGCGATATATCGCCCAGCCCTACTATATGGGTCTCTAATAAGTGAAGCATCAGCTTCAGCGTTACCCATGCGACGCATTGCTGCTCAGCAGAGCCTTGAAAAGTGGAACTCGAAGTTCAAAATAATTAACACCTTGTTTCATTACATCTCACTCTTTTAATGAATCAGCTTTTTTGAACGTGTTCATTGAATGAACGGCTTAATGACTCGCTCAAAGTCCGTTGTCATAACAATGTGCGCGCTGAGTGAAAGCCTTTCAATGCACATTCTGTAGACGCTGTTCAGTTTCGGTTACTTGTCCTCGTTTTTGTCCACATCGTAAACTTATTTATATAGCAACAAATACATATAAATTGAATAAATAAATAAGTAAATAAATAAATAAATGGCAGTAATAATGCATATCGCACTATTGAGCCACTCAAGATTACCGCAAGGGAAAATCCATAACACGACAGCCCTACCGACATGAACTGATTCTTGATCTATACCCATTCCTAGTGTGGTGTATTTGTGGACTTTTACCTGTTTGATCAAACTCTTCCCTCCTGGTGCACTTTTTGTGCTTCTTACCACCAGCATGGTTGTGTATTCCCGTCATTCCTTGAGATGAGTCTCCTAAGTCAGGGTCAACATCTGTGAATGGACAAAGAATGCTTAAACAAAAGCAAACAGAATTGTGCTTTGCCAACATGAACTGATTCTTGATCTATACCCATTCCTAGTGTGGTGTATTTGTGGACTTTTACCTGTTTGATCAAACTCTTCCCTCCTGGTGCGCTTTTTGTGCTTCTTACCACCAGCATGGTTGTGTATTCCCGTCATTCCTTGAGATGAGTCTCCTAAGTCAGGGTCAACATCTGTGAATGGACAAAGAATGCTTAAACAAAAGCAAACAGAATTGTGCTTTGCCAACATGAACTGATTCTTGATCTATACCCATTCCTAGTGTGGTGTATTTGTGGACTTTTACCTGTTTGATCAAACTCTTCCCTCCTGGTGCGCTTTTTGTGCTTCTTACCACCAGCATGGTTGTGTATTCCCGTCATTCCTTGAGATGAGTCTCCTAAGTCAGGGTCAACATCTGTGAATGGACAAAGAATGCTTAAACAAAAGCAAACAGAATTGTGCTTTGCCAACATGAACTGATTCTTGATCTATACCCATTCCTAGTTTGGTGTATTTGTGGACTTTTACCTGTTTGATCAAACTCTTCCCTCCTGGTGTGCTTTTTGTGCTTCTTACCACCAGCATGGTTGTGTATTCCCGTCATTCCTTGAGATGAGTCTCCTAAGTCAGGGTCAACATCTGTGAATGGACAAAGAATGCTTAAACAAAAGCAAACAGAATTGTGCTTTGCCAACATGAACTGATTCTTGATCTATACCCATTCCTAGTTTGGTGTATTTGTGGACTTTTACCTGTTTGATCAAACTCTTCCCTCCTGGTGCGCTTTTTGTGCTTCTTACCACCAGCATGGTTGTGTATTCCTGTCATTCCTTGAGATGAGTCTCCTAAGTCAGGGTCAACATCTGTGAATGGACAAAGAATGCTTAAACAAAAGCAAACAGAATTGTGCTTTGCCAACATGAACTGATTCTTGATCTATACCCATTCCTAGTGTGGTGTATTTGTGGAGTTTTACCTGTTTGATCAAACTCTTCCCTCCTGGTGCGCTTTTTGTGCTTCTTACCACCAGCATGGTTGTGTATTCCTGTCATTCCTTGAGATGAGTCTCCTAAGTCAGGGTCAACATCTGTGAATGGACAAAGAATGCTTAAACAAAAGCAAACAGAATTGTGCTTTGCCAACATGAACTGATTCTTGATCTATACCCATTCCTAGTGTGGTGTATTTGTGGACTTTTACCTGTTTGATCAAACTCTTCCCTCCTGGTGCGCTTTTTGTGCTTCTTACCACCAGCATGGTTGTGTATTCCCGTCATTCCTTGAGATGAGTCTCCTAAGTCAGGGTCAACATCTGTGAATGGACAAAGAATGCTTAAACAAAAGCAAACAGAATTGTGCTTTGCCAACATGAACTGATTCTTGATCTATACCCATTCCTAGTTTGGTGTATTTGTGGACCTTTACCTGTTTGATCAAACTCTTCCCTCCTGGTGCGCTTTTTGTGCTTCTTACCACCAGCATGGTTGTGTATTCCTGTCATTCCTTGAGATGAGTCTCCTAAGTCAGGGTCAACATCTGTGAATGGACAAAGAATGCTTAAACAAAAGCAAACAGAATTGTGCTTTGCCAACATGAACTGATTCTTGATCTATACCCATTCCTAGTTTGGTGTATTTGTGGACTTTTACCTGTTTGATCAAACTCTTCCCTCCTGGTGCGCTTTTTGTGCTTCTTACCACCAGCATGGTTGTGTATTCCTGTCATTCCTTGAGATGAGTCTCCTAAGTCAGGGTCAACATCTGTGAATGGACAAAGAATGCTTAAACAAAAGCAAACAGAATTGTGCTTTGCCAACATGAACTGATTCTTGATCTATACCCATTCCTAGTGTGGTGTATTTGTGGAGTTTTACCTGTTTGATCAAACTCTTCCCTCCTGGTGCGCTTTTTGTGCTTCTTACCACCAGCATGGTTGTGTATTCCTGTCATTCCTTGAGATGAGTCTCCTAAGTCAGGGTCAACATCTGTGAATGGACAAAGAATGCTTAAACAAAAGCAAACAGAATTGTGCTTTGCCAACATGAACTGATTCTTGATCTATACCCATTCCTAGTGTGGTGTATTTGTGGACTTTTACCTGTTTGATCAAACTCTTCCCTCCTGGTGCGCTTTTTGTGCTTCTTACCACCAGCATGGTTGTGTATTCCCGTCATTCCTTGAGATGAGTCTCCTAAGTCAGGGTCAACATCTGTGAATGGACAAAGAATGCTTAAACAAAAGCAAACAGAATTGTGCTTTGCCAACATGAACTGATTCTTGATCTATACCCATTCCTAGTTTGGTGTATTTGTGGACCTTTACCTGTTTGATCAAACTCTTCCCTCCTGGTGCGCTTTTTGTGCTTCTTACCATCACCATGGTTGTGTATTCCTGTCATTCCTTGAGATGAGTCTCCTAAGTCAGGGTCAACATCTGTGAATGGAAAAAGAACGATTTAATCATCGATTAACCATGTGCGCGCGTGTTCTTGTGTGCGTGCTGCTCCACCAGGATACATGTAAGCGAGCGAGTTATGTTTGGGACTATTTTACACCATCATGACAATAAGTTGGCATGTGCATTCGTAGCCTTTTGTTTTGTTCAAATAAGTTGTAATTGTTTATTTTTGTGTAAGTTACGTCTATCTGTATCTTTATCTCATATTGGATGTATTTGGTCAAGAATTGACACTAAAGCGTGATCTTTAACACGCGCTGCTCAAACGGCAATGGTCAATACGGCTCAAACGACTGGTCATTTTACATCACATTATAAAGAAAATATTGTAATAAAACACTGTGAATTTTTGGGGTTTAGTTGCCGTGTCGTGTTGTTCCAGGAAGAGCGCGTCCACAACACGAGTCATTCTGTATGGCACGTAGGCCTAGTTCAAGTTCACTTGTGCATTCAAGTAATTTTGTGCAGATGTAAATAAATCTCATTGGATGCGTTTCTTTGAGTTAAAAAAGTTCTCAACGATTATTCAGTCAGTGCGCACCGCTCAAGCAGAATGCAAGACTAATAATAACGATGATTAATTTGGGACTGTCATATCACATAACACGAGAACACTATTTTATAAATTCGTTGTGAATTCATTGGGTTTAGTTGCCGTTTTCAGTGCGTTGTTCCAGGAAGAGCACGTCCACAACAGTCACACATTCTGACAAGTGCATCTGAGGCGGTTGGTGACACGTTATATAGTTGTTTTATTTGATTATTAAATCATTAATTTAATTATAAATCACATCAAAATATTTTACAAACCTACTAGCACCTACAAAACATTCCCATTAATTTGGTGAGGAACATAGCGTTTTGAGCAGCATTTACAGACCCTGTCCTGCTGTTGGCCATGACACTGAGCAGACGCATATTGCAGTATTAAGGCTAACAATTAATCGATTAATTGATCGTTAATTTGAATGATGATTGATCATGGGAATTTGTGAAAATTGCTACTAGATCCCTACTAGAAAGATATCTACATCACAAACAAAAACATTTATATCTCTAAGCACTTATTATTTTATTTTGTTGGGCAGTGATTTGGTCACTACTTTGTGGAATTGACTGTCAGGTACAGGATAATTCAGCTCATTTGTGGGTTAGGTCATGACATGACATGACATCCTCTTCCGCTTCATCCGGGCCTAGTCGCGATCAGCAGTCTAACCGAGCTTCTCACCCTATCTCTAAAGGATCGCCCAGCCATCCTGCGGAGAAAGCTCATTTCGGCCGCCTGTATCCGGGATCTTGTCCTTTCGGTCATGACCCAAAGCTCATGACCATAGGTGAGAGTAGGAACGTAGATGGAGAAATCCTTCCTCAAGTGGAGGAGTTTAAGTATCTTGGGGTTTTGTTCACGAGTGAGGGAAGGATGGAACGGGAGATTGACAGACGGATCGGTGCAGCTTCTGCAGCAATGCGGTCGATGTACCGGTCTGTTGTGGCGAAGAAGGAGCTGAGCCGTAAGGCAAAGCTCTCGATTTACCGGTCAATCTACGTTCCTACTCTCACCTATGGTCATGGGTTAGGGCTATCCACCTTTTTCTGACTTGACGGTTTTCTACTTCCTGCTGTCCTTTTTTCACTAATTGTATCTTAATTTCAATCAATGTTTCATCAACCAATTGCCTGGTTTTAATAAACAAGAAGTATATAGTAAACAGATGATCATGACGGAGGCGACAGCGCGCAAACTGGACTTTGGTCTCATGAATGAAACTTGGCGTAACGTTATTATGCCTAACCTCACAGGCCTGAGTGAGAAATATAGACTATGCATCTTTGAAAGCAGAGGTAGACAGGAGTCAAGGGGCTAACCAGCCTAACCTTTTGGAACTGTTATTCTGCAGCAGTCGGTGTGATGGAGAATGTCAGATATTTGCTGGAGATCGTGCAGTCATGCATCAGCTATCCTTTGGAAGTTATGAAGCAAAGAAAAACGTTCATTTTGTTTTTATCTGTGATTTAATAAAAAATAACGTGATCAGATCACATTTGATGAATGTTTTTTTCGTTTTAGTTTAGCGATGTGGGGATGACAATCTAAAACACATGGCAAAAAAGCATAGACCAGACTCGAACCGGAAGTTGACTACCGGCATCGTCGTTATGGCGGCGCCCACTAGACCAGAATAAGGTGGATAAGTTTAATATGCAATTCAATCTCAGCCTATTAAATGCTATATTAACTTCAGTAACATTTGTGCATATCTGAACTACTGTATACATTTGGTGCACTATATGGTAGATGTCATAATGTTTTGATGTAATGATGTCAGAATTTTGATTTTTGCATAATTGTGTGCTTTTACTCATTTCTGTTATTGTCTGTGTCTCAGCATCACTGTCTTCACTTTGCTCCGAATCAGAAAAGTCCAAGTTATCTGTAAAAAAAAAAAAGGATAAATAAAAGTTTACATTGCCGATGTTACATAATTTTCAATGAAATTTGATGAATATTACTCTTGTGATATAAAGCCCAGGATACACTGCACGATTTCAGCCATCCTATAAGATAATTACAAATCACACTGTGTGACATGGTTCTATTAAACTTGGGTACAACATGCATGTAGACTGTACGATGATGACACATATTGACTCGTGACTGCGCTAGTGGTAAACAAAAAGCCCATGATCTCACTTTGGCAGTAGTAGTTAAGTGTGCTGAAAAAAAGAGGAAGTGACAAAAAAGGAAGGAATAAGAGCTTGAGGTAAGCAGTTAAGTTTTAGCACCATGTCGGGCTGATTTCATGTGGCATTTCTATTGGTTGGTTAGTAGACGTAGGTACACTCTACACTGTTTGGTAATCGTGACGAATTTGACAGTCTTGAGATTGTGCAGTGTGTCCCGGGCTTAAGGCAGAGGTCTCCATCCCTGTTCCAGGAGAGCTCCCGTCCTAAAGATTTCAGCTCCAACCTTAATAAAGACAGGTGTGTTGAAGCAGGGTTGGAACTGAAGTCTTTAGGACAGTAACTCTCCAGGAGCAGGGTTGGAGAACCCTGATCTAAGGTCTGCATATTAAGGATTATCCTGCATACCTTCGATTTCAATTTGTTCCAGTGTTTTCCCCTGAAGACTTGCAAGGGTGCCTTTCTCCATTGCAAGTAACAGTTTTGATATCTTGGCTAACTGTGTTGTGGCCTCTGGAAGTCGATAGTATTCTCGGTGCACACGAATATCATGTCCCAGAAAGTCTGCAACTTGGTCGAGCTCGTGATTTTTTAAGTTTAACACCTGAGACAGTGTTGCAACATGCTTTCGTAGTTGTGTTGATCTGAGGAATTCAGGTTTTTTTGCTCCACACTCATTGGCATAAATTCTCAGACAATCTTGTCCTCGATAAGGAGTCAAACAACTTGGTCTCCCAAAGAGGAATACATTTTCTTCAGGAACTCCACACTCTTTTCTTCGGCTAACAAGGTGTGTTAAGGCATCAACCATGTCTGGTGATAGCAAAACGGCAACCTTTCGGCCTCTTTTACCCCTTATCTCCACCCGACTAAAATGCGCACAGAGTTTTTTTTCAAATTTTGTTAGGCCAGCAGCGACATCCGCATGGAGGGGAGTTGTGTCCCTTTCAAGGAAGTTTTTTAGTTTCATCTTAGCAACCTCTCCTCCTCGTCTTCGGTTGAAAAGAATTACTTTTGCCAGTGTTGCTCTGGAAAGTTCCCCATAGGCTTGTGCTGATTGGGTATTTTTCAGGTTCTCAGATGCTGAATCTGCAACCTTTTCAAGATGCTGGTGAAGGCACTGCACATCCTCTGTGAATGGGATGGTGGACGGTTTGTTGAAGTGCGCCTCACTTAAAGTATTCAATGCTGTGTGGGAAATAAGTTCAGCCCATTTTGCGCTGTACAGTTTTTTAAATGTCTGGGTTGACCTTACCATCTCAGTGTCTTCTGCCATCAAAGCACGGCAATGTACAATGTCACAGATCTTTTGCAGTGAGTGGCCTAACTTGAGAGCAAGGCTAGGAGTCTGGTAGGTGTGCTTTTCACCATTAAAGCCGGAGACCTTCTTTACAGCTTGGATAAGCACATTAAAATTTGCAGGTCTAACAGCATCTTCAAGTGTCTGTATTGTAAATTCTCTTTGCAGGATCAGGAGAAGTCTACCAGCTTCTCTGAGCTTCTGCCGAATATACTCGTATTTAGTGGGATCTTGTCCGTGCCTGTTAAAAAAGGATTGGGCCAGTTGAAGAATGCAGAAATCACTCCGGACAGCTGCAGAGATTTCATCATCCTTCATTACAGTCAACAGCTTCCAAACCCCCTGTGATATTGGTTGACACATAGTTGCGTTAGACATAGTTGCCAAAGATAAGACCCTGGTCCTTCCTGGCTCAATACGATCCACTTCCACTTCCTCTGGTTTGGAAAGGCAATTTCGAATGTGTCGCCACAGATCTCTCCGAAGAAACATGGCATGGCAGTACATGCAAGGAACATAATCTTCTGATTTATATTCATTCTTGGGTTTCCGTCTGAGTTTTAACGATCCAGTCCCACTCTCTAAAACCCTAGCATTGTGTTCATAATTCCCTTTGTTCCTCAGTTTGTCCAACATTTGTTTGCGTTCTTTTGAACATTTTGGAAGTGCCAAGACCCGAGCAACATCCATGTTTGTTGTTTCATGGATTTTTAAGTGCCTTGCAAATTTTGACTGGGGTTTGCAACAAATATAGCAGTAATTATTTTTGTTTACTGTAGAGGATACATTAGACGACTGTACACATGGAATTTCTCCAGTTCTTGTGCTATCCTCTGTAGACTTTTCTTCAGTATTACCAGTCATTTTTGTTTTGAGGACATCTGATACTTGAACTGGATCTTTCAGCAGAGATTGTGTAACTATGTGGTTCTCTTGACATTGCCTGGCATTTTTATTTTCTCCAAGTGATTCAATGCTGGACACATTTTGTTTGTTCGCGATTTGTTTAGGATGCTCAAGTTCTAAAGAAACTGTGCTCTCTTCTGAACTGTCAAAAGAATCAGGTAAATAGTCCTGATCAGACAAGTTCTCACTGGAAAACTCTTCTTCAGAATTCTGTGGTTGGATGGGGGATTGGAAAGAGAAACCTTTTTTACACATCAAAAAATAAAAACTTGAGGAAAGAAAAGTTAACCCAAAAGTAAAAAGAATAATCAATCCCTGGCCATCAAATATTCACATGACATTCTTTTTCATCAAAAAGCCATATAGATCTTTGATGGGTGAGAAAATAATTAGTAAATGTTCATTTTTGGGTTAATCTTTTCATTTAGCGAGAATTTGATAAAATACACTTACCGGTGTTAAAGGGTCAGGTTTGGGCTTCACATGCTTATCATAGCAACTTTTATGCCAAAAGCAGGAGCAAACTAGACAGAGGATAAAATAAACATTTGGTCGTTTGATGCGATGGACATAATGTGAAAAAAGAAGAGCAATAGTTGTAAAGCAAGAGATAGGTCCATAGAGGCAGAGCATGTTACTAATGATATGACAGATATGTGGATAAAAGACAAAAGCTCGAAAAGTATGTGATAAAGACGGAAGAAAAAATGTTAAAGTAGCAGAGTTAGAGGTAGTGTTAATGAAATTATGATGTATGGATAGAAATAAACTATATTGTCAATCTTTCCTTTTATTTATTTTGAGAAATATATTATGTTACTAGAAAAACAGGAGAGTTCAACAGAATGATTCAAATATATTGAGGGTAAAAGAAAGTGGTGCAAGAAAAGGAAATAGGTAATTTGAAATGTGAAAGAGAGTATAACCAGTGTAAATGAAAGTAAAAACAAGAAATTATTAAATGCTACTAAACAGATGAATAATTGAGCATAAAACAGTAATTAAGGCAGATATTGAGAAAGTGTGACACACGCAGAAAAAAGAAGTGCCTTAAATTAAAAAAGAAAGAAAGGAAATATATTATATATAAGAACAAAATACTTACCCTTACACCTAACACTAATCCACTTAAAAGCAGAAAAGGGCCCACTGCAGCTGTTACATTTATCCAAGGTTGACACTACCGAGGAGATTACATTATGTTTGCAATTCTGTTGAAAAAATAATAATAATAAAAAAAATTACTTGTATAAACAAAGTTCAGCCTACTTCCATGATTTAAAAATATTTGAGACTTTGCTGAATACCATTGTGCATATTGGCTGAGTGCTCATAGAAATGATTACATGTCTAGCTAATGTGAACATGATTATTTCAAACAGCAGTGTTAAATTAGGGAGGAACCTAAACATGTTGGGCAGAGCCTTTCCAGTAGCAGGGTTCCCATACCTTAGACAAACCCTTTCTAGGTTACATTTACACACACAAATTCCAAATCACCTTCTCTGATGCATCATCTGCCTCACAGCTGACAAAACCATTGGACTGTTGTTCTGTCTCAGATATCACCTATGAAATATTTTCAAACATGTGTAAACACAGATAAGCAGAAAATCATGTGTACTGCTTTATGAGAAATATGAAAAAATAAAAACAAAACATTTCCTATAACTAACCATTTACTCTAAAAGCTTTATTGGATTTGGAAATCAATACATCTTTGACAATTGAAAGACTTTAGAAATAAAGATTCTACATAATTTTACCAAAACTTAAAACAGTTCATAAATTACCTGTTGAGCGGTGTCATGAAGTCTCAATTGAGGATCTGTCTCGGATGAAATCTAATGAGGAACAAAGAAAACAGTTTGATTATAAACATTAATTTTCACAATTGCTTTTACACAAACTATGGTCCAATCTGACTGTATTACTGAACTTCTGCCCATCCCCCACAATACACAATATGACACAAACAGTGAATATGAGGACATTCAGACACAAACTATGGTCCAATCTGACTGTATTACTGAACTTCTGCCCATCCCCCACAATACACAATATGACACAAACAGTGAATATGAGGACATTCAGACACAAACTATGGTCCAATCTGACTGTATTACTGAACTTCTGTCCATCCCCACAATACACAATATGACACAAACAGTGAATATGAGGACATTCAGACACAAACTATGGTCCAATCTGACTGTATTACTGAACTTCTGTCCATCCTCCACAATACACAATATGACACAAACAGTGAATATGAGGACATTCAGACACAAACTATGGTCCAATCTGACTGTATTACTGAACTTCTGTCCATCCCCACAATACACAATATGACACAAACAGTGAATATGAGGACATTCAGACACAAACTATGGTCCAATCTGACTGTATTACTGAACTTCTGTCCATCCCCCACAATACACAATATGACACAAACAGTGAATATGAGGACATTCAAACACAAACTATGGTCCAATTTGATTATACTGAAAAATATTTGAGACTTTGCTGAATACCATTGTGCATATTGGCTGAGTGCTCATCGAAATGATTACATGTCTAGCTAATGTGAACATGATTATTTCAAACAGCAGTGTTAAATTAGGGAGGAACCTAAACATGTTGGGCAGAGCCTCTCCAGTAGCAGGGTTCCCATACCTTAGACAAACCCTTTCTAGGTTACATTTACACACACAAATTCCAAATCACCTTCTCTGATGCATCATCTGCCTCACAGCTGACAAAACCATTGGACTGTTGTTCTGTCTCAGATATCACCTATGAAATATTTTCAAACATGTGTAAACACAGATAAGCAGAAAATCATGTGTACTGCTTTATGAGAAATATGAAAAAATAAAAACAAAACATTTCCTATAACTAACCATTTACTCTAAAAGCTTTATTGGATTTGGAAATCAACACATCTTTGACAATTGAAAGACTTTAGAAATAAAGATTCTACATCATTTTACCAACGGTTCATAAATTACCTGTTGAGCGGTGTCATGAAGTCTCAATTGAGGATCTGTCTCGGATGAAATCTAATGAGGAACAAAGAAAACAGTTTGATTATAAACATTAATTTTCACAATTGCTTTTACACAAACTATGGTCCAATCTGACTGTATTACTGAACTTCTGTCCATCCTCCACAATACACAATATGACACAAACAGTGAATATGAGGACATTCAGACACAAACTATGGTCCAATCTGACTGTATTACTGAACTTCTGTCCATCCCCCACAATACACAATATGACACAAACAGTGAATATGAGGACATTCAGACACAAACTATGGTCCAATCTGACTGTATTACTGAACTTCTGTCCATCCCCCACAATACACAATATGACACAAACAGTGAATATGAGGACATTCAGACACAAACTATGGTCCAATTTGATTATACTGAAAAATATTTGAGACTTTGCTGAATACCATTGTGCATATTGGCTGAGTGCTCATCGAAATGATTACATGTCTAGCTAATGTGAACATGATTATTTCAAACAGCAGTGTTAAATTAGGGAGGAACCTAAACATGTTGGGCAGAGCCTCTCCAGTAGCAGGGTTCCCATACCTTAGACAAACCCTTTCTAGGTTACATTTACACACACAAATTCCAAATCACCTTCTCTGATGCATCATCTGCCTCACAGCTGACAAAACCATTGGACTGTTGTTCTGTCTCAGATATCACCTATGAAATATTTTCAAACATGTGTAAACACAGATAAGCAGAAATCATGTGTACTGCTTTATGAGAAATATGAAAAAATAAAAACAAAACATTTCCTATAACTAACCATTTACTCTAAAAGCTTTATTGGATTTGGAAATCAACACATCTTTGACAATTGAAAGACTTTAGAAATAAAGATTCTACATCATTTTACCAACGGTTCATAAATTACCTGTTGAGCGGTGTCATGAAGTCTCAATTGAGGATCTGTCTCGGATGAAATCTAATGAGGAACAAAGAAAACAGTTTGATTATAAACATTAATTTTCACAATTGCTTTTACACAAACTATGGTCCAATCTGACTGTATTACTGAACTTCTGTCCATCCCCCACAATACACAATATGACACAAACAGTGAATATGAGGACATTCAGACACAAACTATGGTCCAATCTGACTGTATTACTGAACTTCTGCCCATCCCCCACAATACACAATATGACACAAACAGTGAATATGAGGACATTCAGACACAAACTATGGTCCAATCTGACTGTATTACTGAACTTCTGCCCATCCCCACAATACACAATATGACACAAACAGTGAATATGAGGACATTCAGACACAAACTATGGTCCAATCTGACTGTATTACTGAACTTCTGTCCATCCCCCACAATACACAATATGACACAAACAGTGAATATGAGGACATTCAGACACAAACTATGGTCCAATTTGATTATACTGAAAAATATTTGAGACTTTGCTGAATACCATTGTGCATATTGGCTGAGTGCTCATCGAAATGATTACATGTCTAGCTAATGTGAACATGATTATTTCAAACAGCAGTGTTAAATTAGGGAGGAACCTAAACATGTTGGGCAGAGCCTCTCCAGTAGCAGGGTTCCCATACCTTAGACAAACCCTTTCTAGGTTACATTTACACACACAAATTCCAAATCACCTTCTCTGATGCATCATCTGCCTCACAGCTGACAAAACCATTGGACTGTTGTTCTGTCTCAGATATCACCTATGAAATATTTTCAAACATGTGTAAACACAGATAAGCAGAAAATCATGTGTACTGCTTTATGAGAAATATGAAAAAATAAAAACAAAACATTTCCTATAACTAACCATTTACTCTAAAAGCTTTATTGGATTTGGAAATCAACACATCTTTGACAATTGAAAGACTTTAGAAATAAAGATTCTACATAATTTTACCAACGGTTCATAAATTACCTGTTGAGCGGTGTCATGAAGTCTCAATTGAGGATCTGTCTCGGATGAAATCTAATGAGGAACAAAGAAAACAGTTTGATTATAAACATTAATTTTCACAATTGCTTTTACACAAACTATGGTCCAATCTGACTGTATTACTGAACTTCTGTCCATCCCCCACAATACACAATATGACACAAACAGTGAATATGAGGACATTCAGACACAAACTATGGTCCAATCTGACTGTATTACTGAACTTCTGCCCATCCCCCACAATACACAATATGACACAAACAGTGAATATGAGGACATTCAGACACAAACTATGGTCCAATCTGACTGTATTACTGAACTTCTGTCCATCCCCCACAATACACAATATGACACAAACAGTGAATATGAGGACATTCAGACACAAACTATGGTCCAATCTGACTGTATTACTGAACTTCTGTCCATCCTCCACAATACACAATATGACACAAACAGTGAATATGAGGACATTCAGACACAAACTATGGTCCAATCTGACTGTATTACTGAACTTCTGTCCATCCCCCACAATACACAATATGACACAAACAGTGAATATGAGGACATTCAGACACAAACTATGGTCCAATCTGACTGTATTACTGAACTTCTGTCCATCCTCCACAATACACAATATGACACAAACAGTGAATATGAGGACATTCAGACACAAACTATGGTCCAATCTGACTGTATTACTGAACTTCTGTCCATCCCCCACAATACACAATATGACACAAACAGTGAATATGAGGACATTCAGACACAAACTATGGTCCAATCTGACTGTATTACTGAACTTCTGTCCATCCTCCACAATACACAATATGACACAAACAGTGAATATGAGGACATTCAGACACAAACTATGGTCCAATCTGACTGTATTACTGAACTTCTGCCCATCCCCCACAATACACAATATGACACAAACAGTGAATATGAGGACATTCAGACACAAACTATGGTCCAATCTGACTGTATTACTGAACTTCTGTCCATCCTCCACAATACACAATATGACACAAACAGTGAATATGAGGACATTCAGACACAAACTATGGTCCAATCTGACTGTATTACTGAACTTCTGTCCATCCTCCACAATACACAATATGACACAAACAGTGAATATGAGGACATTCAGACACAAACTATGGTCCAATCTGACTGTATTACTGAACTTCTGTCCATCCCCCACAATACACAATATGACACAAACAGTGAATATGAGGACATTCAGACACAAACTATGGTCCAATCTGACTGTATTACTGAACTTCTGTCCATCCTCACAATACACAATATGACACAAACAGTGAATATGAGGACATTCAGACACAAACTATGGTCCAATTTGATTATACTGAAAAATATTTGAGACTTTGCTGAATACCATTGTGCATATTGGCTGAGTGCTCATCGAAATGATTACATGTCTAGCTAATGTGAACATGATTATTTCAAACAGCAGTGTTAAATTAGGGAGGAACCTAAACATGTTGGGCAGAGCCTCTCCAGTAGCAGGGTTCCCATACCTTAGACAAACCCTTTCTAGGTTACATTTACACACACAAATTCCAAATCACCTTCTCTGATGCATCATCTGCCTCACAGCTGACAAAACCATTGGACTGTTGTTCTGTCTCAGATATCACCTATGAAATATTTTCAAACATGTGTAAACACAGATAAGCAGAAAATCATGTGTACTGCTTTATGAGAAATATGAAAAAATAAAAACAAAACATTTCCTATAACTAACCATTTACTCTAAAAGCTTTATTGGATTTGGAAATCAACACATCTTTGACAATTGAAAGACTTTAGAAATAAAGATTCTACATCATTTTACCAACGGTTCATAAATTACCTGTTGAGCGGTGTCATGAAGTCTCAATTGAGGATCTGTCTCGGATGAAATCTAATGAGGAACAAAGAAAACAGTTTGATTATAAACATTAATTTTCACAATTGCTTTTACACAAACTATGGTCCAATCTGACTGTATTACTGAACTTCTGTCCATCCCCCACAATACACAATATGACACAAACAGTGAATATGAGGACATTCAGACACAAACTATGGTCCAATCTGACTGTATTACTGAACTTCTGCCCATCCCCCACAATACACAATATGACACAAACAGTGAATATGAGGACATTCAGACACAAACTATGGTCCAATCTGACTGTATTACTGAACTTCTGCCCGTCCTCACAATACACAATATGACACAAACAGTGAAGGACATGAGGATAACTAACCATTTACTCTAAAAGCTTTATTGGATTTGGAAATCAACACATCTTTGACAATTGAAAGACTTTAGAAATAAAGATTCTACATCATTTTACCAACGGTTCATAAATTACCTGTTGAGCGGTGTCATGAAGTCTCAATTGAGGATCTGTCTCTGATGAAATCTAATGAGGAACAAAGAAAACAGTTTGATTATAAACATTAATTTTCACAATTGCTTTTACACAAACTATGGTCCAATCTGACTGTATTACTGAACTTCTGTCCATCCCCCACAATACACAATATGACACAAACAGTGAATATGAGGACATTCAGACACAAACTATGGTCCAATCTGACTGTATTACTGAACTTCTGTCCATCCTCCACAATACACAATATGACACAAACAGTGAATATGAGGACATTCAGACACAAACTATGGTCCAATCTGACTGTATTACTGAACTTCTGTCCATCCCCCACAATACACAATATGACACAAACAGTGAATATGAGGACATTCAAACACAAACTATGGTCCAATTTGATTATACTGAAAAATATTTGAGACTTTGCTGAATACCATTGTGCATATTGGCTGAGTGCTCATCGAAATGATTACATGTCTAGCTAATGTGAACATGATTATTTCAAACAGCAGTGTTAAATTAGGGAGGAACCTAAACATGTTGGCAGAGCCTCTCCAGTAGCAGGGTTCCCATACCTTAGACAAACCCTTTCTAGGTTACATTTACACACACAAATTCCAAATCACCTTCTCTGATGCATCATCTGCCTCACAGCTGACAAAACCATTGGACTGTTGTTCTGTCTCAGATATCACCTATGAAATATTTTCAAACATGTGTAAACACAGATAAGCAGAAAATCATGTGTACTGCTTTATGAGAAATATGAAAAAATAAAAACAAAACATTTCCCATAACTAACCATTTACTCTAAAAGCTTTATTGGATTTGGAAATCAACACATCTTTGACAATTGAAAGACTTTAGAAATAAAGATTCTACATCATTTTACCAACGGTTCATAAATTACCTGTTGAGCGGTGTCATGAAGTCTCAATTGAGGATCTGTCTCGGATGAAATCTAATGAGGAACAAAGAAAACAGTTTGATTATAAACATTAATTTTCACAATTGCTTTTACACAAACTATGGTCCAATCTGACTGTATTACTGAACTTCTGTCCATCCCCACAATACACAATATGACACAAACAGTGAATATGAGGACATTCAGACACAAACTATGGTCCAATCTGACTGTATTACTGAACTTCTGCCCATCCCCCACAATACACAATATGACACAAACAGTGAATATGAGGACATTCAGACACAAACTATGGTCCAATCTGACTGTATTACTGAACTTCTGCCCATCCCCCACAATACACAATATGACACAAACAGTGAATATGAGGACATTCAGACACAAACTATGGTCCAATCTGACTGTATTACTGAACTTCTGCCCATCCCCCACAATACACAATATGACACAAACAGTGAATATGAGGACATTCAGACACAAACTATGGTCCAATCTGACTGTATTACTGAACTTCTGCCCATCCCCCACAATACACAATATGACACAAACAGTGAATATGAGGACATTCAGACACAAACTATGGTCCAATCTGACTGTATTACTGAACTTCTGTCCATCCCCCACAATACACAATATGACACAAACAGTGAATATGAGGACATTCAGACACAAACTATGGTCCAATCTGACTGTATTACTGAACTTCTGTCCATCCTCCACAATACACAATATGACACAAACAGTGAATATGAGGACATTCAGACACAAACTATGGTCCAATCTGACTGTATTACTGAACTTCTGTCCATCCCCACAATACACAATATGACACAAACAGTGAATATGAGGACATTCAGACACAAACTATGGTCCAATCTGACTGTATTACTGAACTTCTGTCCATCCCCACAATACACAATATGACACAAACAGAAACAGTGAATATGAGGACATTCAGACACAAACTACACTCAGAAAACTAAGTATTGCCAAATCATAGGTCAAAAATAATTTCTGTAAATACCTTGCTTCTCCATGGCCAGTCAGAATCCCCATAATTATACATTATCTCCTCCCCAGGACTGATGTCCTTTATCGCGAACAAGCAAAGATGGGGCTTCCGGTCCACAGTGATTGTTTTCATTTTGCTGTTCGGATTTTTGTGGCTGTCATTAGCGATTCTCCCCAAAGAATCATCTTCTTTGGCAGCGTCCACCCTGAAACAGCAAGAACACAACACTAACTGCATGGTGTAACACTGACTGAATCACACAAGTCATTGCACCAGGGCTCGAGACTAACAACTAGGGATGTCTAGGGATTAAGTTTAGGCCTGCTGTTAGAAAAGTTCAGCGAGTGATTTTCTTCATCCTTTGTTCATTGATCAACATTAAATATTGGCACCGAGTACAGGCTGTCAATGCACGGATTCAATAGACACAGGCCTGCTTAAAGACAAAACCGACTGTGTTTACGGGGATATTTCGAACTTGAAAAAAAGATGTGTAGGCTAATGAAGTCTTTCCGTGGTTGAAACAATTTTTCTGATGTTTAATCATGTATATTATTTCATGCTACAAATACACAAGAAGGATATTTGTGAGATATTGTATGCACATTTGTCCGTGCACAAGAAGCAGAAAACAGCGCTCTTGCGCTTAAAGAATGCCATCAAAAAGAATCGATTTTCTATTCCTAACCTTACTAACTAGCCTATAGAAAATATTTAAATCATCCTATTGCATGTAAATAAATATGTGTATAACTATAGGGCTATAGTGAATTATGTTTTTAAAAATTGACAATTATCATCTGGAAACAGACTTCGATATCGATATTGCGATACTTGCGAGACATCGTCGATATACGATAATATCGTCATAACGCCCAGCCCTACTTTGTACATTTCCCAAGACAGTGTAAATGAGGTACATTAATATACATACCATAATTGTTTCCCATTAAAGCGAAATTCAAACAAAAATACTTCAAGTGCACGATGATAAACTCTGCGCCTCCTTTGATACTCTTGTTTATCCAGGATTTCTCCTCTGTATTCGAAAAGGAAGTCCCCCTTTTCGAAGTGGCGACAACTGAACACTCCTCGACCTATCAAAGGACATAACAGTCAGGAAAAGTGGAAAAATGTAAAACGATACTTAAACAAAGGCCTGTATTACCTTTAAAGGCATTTATATATTTTATTTCAAAACCATCCTTATCCTTAAGGATGGATGAAAAATATGCTGCCTCTTCCTTGGGTTTTAATTTGGTCCTTCGAGATCTTGAAGCTGCCATCTCCTGCAAAGGCGACATGATGTTTTTAATCACTTTACACCATGACTTTTAGATATCATATCACTGATATAATAAACTGTTTACACGTTTATTTGTTATGAACAATGAAATTATTAATTATAATTATTATTATACATATGTAATACTAAGAAGTTTTACTAGTTACACAGTAAAAATATGGATCTTGTGTTTAATTTTTTTTTTTACATGCTGCTTTTTCTTTTTCTCAAACAAACTGTAGTTGTCATTACATTTATAATTTGACTAACATATACACAGACACCTACGGAACATTAACGTTACTAATTAACTAAAACTGGCAACTAAAAACGTAAACAAGGACTAGCTAAGGAACAAAAATTCAGTTAGAAACCATTACCATGCTTCAGGGTGCTAAATAACGTTAACTGTTAGGCCTAAATTGCAAAGGGATCTAGAAAAAAACTTTATCCAACTAACGTTATACTGATCCACATGCCAACCTCATTACCATTATTACACTGCCCAAATGTTCCGGGAAATAAATATGATAATTCGTTTAATTAAAAAATTAAAAGTTGTGAAATACAGACACGTGTCAACAAAGCTAACGTTAGCTTATAACTGCTAACGTTAATGCAAATGATTTCATCATTAATATGATCAAATTAACTGATTAATAACTGAAACATATTTCAAACTACTACCAACGCAATATAAAATTAAAATTAATACCGTTTTAGACTTGAAGTGTAACTGGATATTAGAAATTTGATCCCAACTCTTACCTGACGTCTCTTCTCCTTGATGACTGATCCGCATGTGGCTGTCTCAGCAAGTGGGAGTGGTTCGAAGACAGGTCCGGATCATCAAAAGTGCGTTGGTGTTGTGTAATTATTCCTTTTTAATTGATTTATTGATTTATTTTAGTTTTATTGTTGTTGTTATGCATTTTTCACTCGATTGAATTCGCTTATGTGGTAATTAGATTAACACAGTGGTTTGACAAAACCCGAAATTATGAGGACTTTTTGCGATCAGCCAATCAAAAGCCTCGATTCCATTCCCTTGTGTGAATATTCATGAGGAGATGCAGTACCGCTGACCCACCTACAGGGGCACTGTCTCGATACACAGCTGATACACAAAACCAGGTAATTGTGAACTATGGGGACTTGGGCTAAAATTTTGATTTTGAGCTCCCCCTAACCATAGAAACACTTCTACATTGTCGGAATTATGAGGACACCAGCCATGTCCTCATAATTCAAAATGTCCTCATAGTGTTGTGTGTATTCATATGAAATGTCCTCGTAAATCACAAAAACAAACACACACACACACACACACACACACACACACACAATGAATGTACCTAACCCTAAACCCACATATCCATCTAAACAGGATTTTTCACAGGAGTAAAATCCTGCAACAAGTTGAATCACAGCCATTATATTTGCATACACTTGTCTGTTTAATTATTGGTTACAATTTTTTTTTTAAATCAATATGAACGATGTGTATATTAATTTTTATGTATTGTTATGAACTATAATCCAGCTTTGGCCACTTGAGAGCAAAATGCAACAATGGGTTATAAAATTAAAAACACCAGTATCAGCATTTTTGGGGCTCTATGTTCACGTTAATTATCGTTAAGGACATAGATCATGGTGCAAAATAATAATAATAATATATATATTTGTAATATATAAATGATAAATACACTGTTTTCTACAAAATCTGTATTTTGTATTGTTGTTCATGAGTACAACTGACATAGTTGTCATTAGTTTTATTAAATTACATAATACATTTTAAAAAGGAATAAAACAGAGATTACATATTGAGTCTGTGCATATAAATTAATATGAAATATATTGCCTTCAAGATCAAAATGTATAAGTTAATATAAATATTTATTACATGTGCAATAAATAATAACAAATTAGTTTTAACAGTTCAGGTGTAATGTAATGCCACAAGTAAAATCTGAAATATTAAAGTAACAAGCAAGCAACAATGGTGACACAATGTGGCACATGGATAATGTAGAGCCTTCTGTTATCCAAATCTGCAAAGAATTTGAACATGTTGGTGAGAGAAAAAAAACAACAACAGACACAGTAGCTCAGGGTTAGAATGACTTTTACTAATTTATTATTTAATTCATCTGAAAAATATTTAATTTCCAGACTCAAAACTCAAGAGTCTGATTTTGGAAGATTTAATTCTTCCAATGTTATGCTAAAACTTTAAGACTCTTCTTCAGAAAGTTCTGGACTGCTGTTGTCCTCACTCTCCTCTTCAACATCTTCCTCCAGCATGAAGAAGGAAGGGTCTGTGTTGTTGACACTGCCATAGGTGCTGGTGACTGCTGCAAGTTTTTGATGCAGAATGTGCCGCTTGTGTAAGAGACAGCAGTATAGCCCCCTGTGTGCCTCTTTGGTCAGCTCTCTGGGTGGATCTTAAGTAAAAAGTGAAGAAAATTGACATTGATAATTAGACAGCATTTCATAAAAACACAAAACAAACAAAAAATAACAGCTCATAGGTAAAGTGATTTAAAATTTTAGATTTGAAGCAATATTTACAGGAAACTATAAGATCCTAGTTAATGACAACTTGCATAAACATATTTTTACATATAAAATAATAAAAAATCTTTATCATACATACTACGGATCTTGATGTCCTCTTTAGTCTCCCGAAGGAGACTGTCCAGTTTCTCCAATGTTTTTTTTAGATGTTGATAATGCTGAGTCATCTCTTTTACAATTATTATCTTCTCCTCCTCCATCCGCCTTACCAGCATGACTTGGTCAAACACTCGCCTCTTCAAGCGGAGACTCACCACTATTTTGAAAATAAAAGTGGAGGAAACATTTACTCTAACACACAACATATTCAGCTTTACGTCTAGCACAGTGTTCATTAGGCATTTTGAGCTCCTTGAGAATAATATTGATTAAGTACTTTATAAAATATTTAAGGGTAGTAAATATAGAAAATATCCTAACTGTATCATCCCTTAAGTATGCATATAATAATCCAGGCAATACACCAAATTGACAACAACTGTAACATCACACTACAATATAAAAGAAAATTAAAGAAATGCCCATCCCAGAATTAAGATATGTTTTTTTTTTTTTATTCATGAAAGACATATTGAATGATGTATGGCGTCTAATTTGTAGGCATATTTCATGCTTGGGTTGGAATTTGCTATTTCATGGTAGATATGGCTTTCATCTCAAATGTGTTTGGTTATTGCAGATGTTATCCACCTTTTTCTGACTTGACGGTTTTCTACTTCCTGCTGTCCTTTTTCACTAATTGTATCTTAATTTCAATCAATGTTTCATCAACCAATTGCCTGGTTTTAATAAATAAGAAGTATAGCTAGTAAACAGATGATCATGACGGAGGCGACAGCGCGCAAACTGGACTTTGGTCTCATGAATGAAACTCGGCGTAACGTTATTATGCCTAACCTCACAGGCCTGAGTGAGAAATATAGACTATGCATCTTTGAAAGCAGAGGTAGCAGGAGTCAAAGGGCCAACCAGCCTAACCTTTTAGAACTGTTATTCTGCAGCAGTCGGGGTGATGGAGACTGCCGGATGTTTGCAGGAGATCGTGCAGTCATGCATCAGCTATCCTTTGGAAGTTATGAAGCAAAGAAAAACGTTCATTTTGTTTTTATCTGTGATTTAATAAAAAATAACGTTATCAGATCACATTTGATGAATGTTTTTTTCGATTTAGTTTAGCAATGTGGGGATGACACAATCGAAAACACATGGCAAAAAAGCATAGACCAGAATCGAAGCGGAAGTTGACTACTGGTATCGTCGTCATGGTGGCGTGCATTGTTTAGAGCAGAAAAAGGTGGATAAAAAGAAAAGTGATGACCACTACTAGTATAGAATGTGTGTTACATCAGTAACATTAATCAGATTATCCCTATATCATATGGCAACACTACAGATTATATTTCAGATAACACCAGAATATATTATGCTTTATACTTTACTGTGTGTTGCACCTTTTTTTACAGGGTGGCAGTGTTAAATTGCTGACTGCTATTACTTGTATTAACAATCAACGGAATTTCGTGAATTTAAAAAAGTAGAAAAATACACAATACAATACTTACCATCTCCTTGTGCTTCCCAAGGCAGAATAAAATCATCAGAGAGACTGCATGCTGCTTCGGTGTCGATTTTCTCTTCACAGCCAGGAATGGTGTTGTACAGCACTATCTTCTCTCTAAGTGTCTTTTTGAGCTCACCAAGTCTCCTCCGTTTGCGTTGCCTTGTTTGGTTGCTGTCTGTAAGGATAAAATAAAATATTAGAAACAATTTTTTTTCTCCAAATTTCAAGTTGAGTGATGTAGCAGCAAATACCATTTTGCCGATACAGATCATGCTTCTTTCTTCGGATGGAATAAATAATCTCATCGATTTCTCCCTGGAGCTCTTCCTGGCTACTGTGAGTACTGCGTCTCTCTTGAAAACCAGAAATAAGCAAAGTCGACCGTTACAGAAAACACAGCATCACTGCAAAAATGTATATGGAAATAAAGTACCAATTTATACACCTGCGACTAGATGACATACCAGTGGCTGCCCATTGCTTGACATCACACACCCACCGATCTGCATCCTCCATAGAGATGTTTAACTCCTGCTTGAGACTCTCAAGATTGGCTGCTTCAAATTCTGCTCTTTGTGTAGTCTATTTAAAAAAATTAAAATGACAGAAAACATAACGTCACTACAAAATTAACCACAAATGCAAAAATGCAGGGAGAGTGCGATCACAGTCATTGCCTTTTATGCAGTCAAGATTATACATTTGGTGAATTTGCAGGGACCAGCATAACCGGAGTGCAATGGATGGACCACTTTCTCGATTATTGTGTCTCCAGGGCCCAGAAAACACCTCAGATCCGGTTGGTTAGTGTGCAATGTAGGCTTCTTACTTTGACAAATCTTTTCGCCAGTGTCTTGTGAAGACTCTGCACCTTCCTATGGTTCCATCCCATGGCAAGCACAGTTATCATATCTCCTCTGCCTATAATAAACAAAACCGATAAGAACAAATCAATTCTACAATCTACCATTGTGTGTACAACACAAGGGTTAACCCTTTTTTCAACCAACCAACCTGACTTGGTCATGTACTTTGTAGTAAGAGCTGCCCTTGAAAGGAAGCTATTGACCTGTTCCACCTCTTCACCAACAGTATTTCCTGCACCATCCTGGCTTCTACCGCCCCACCTTACCTGCTCCAAAGAATACGATCAAGACCTTTATCATTCAAATCTTGTTTTTGAATCCTCAATTGAATTTGGCCATGAGCAAATGTTGATGTTTAATATGAGAAATTATAAAATGTTCGGAGGTAGGGTAATAATGAAAGAAAAGCATTCACAACTGCAATTGTGCAGTTGGAACTTTTGGAAGGGTTTAGGAAGCATATCCTACAAACAGCTGTTAAACCAGAATTATCAGTAGGATCACTAATAGTAATGTTAACTAAAAGTTCATAAGCGTTGTGTCTGTGTATATGCATGTTTTATATATATATATATATATATATATATATATATATGAAGAGTTCAGATGCAAAAGCTAAGTGCCATTTGAAATGTTCTTCTAAAATGATCATTTTTATCAAGCTTGTATATTTAAGTTCAGTGATTTCACTTAAATGGCAATGAAGATTGCCTATTAATTTTCATTTAAGTGAAATTACTGAACTTAAATATACATGGTTGATAAAAATGGTCATTTTAGAAGAAAATTTCAAATGGCATTTAGAGGCTTTTGCATCTGAACTCTTCATATATATATATATATATATATATATATACACACACACACACACACACTAAATAAGTGGTTTTAAACATGTCCCTGAGGATACACATTTTGTATATCTCACATATGTCACACTTGATTTAACTTATCAGCTCATTAGTAGATACTGCAAGACCTGAATTGGGTGTGTCAGATAAGGGAGACACACTGCACACAATGCAGTGCTGGGGTCCTCCAGGACAAGTTTGAAATCCACTGCATTAAAGTTGTAAAGTGCACTATTTTTTTAAACGTGCATATTTCCATAGATAAAAATAAAGCTAAATTTTTCTGATGCTGCAATGATACGTTTCTAAAAACTTTAAACATAAACTTTTTCACAGTACCTCACATTTGCCAGTGTGAGCCTTGGCATGCATTACAGAGAGAAAAGGCTTCATCATGGTCAGTGGTTGGAGCTCAGATAACTTCTCTGCCATCTTTTCCAAATAAGGCCAGTACCTGTAATGGGAAAATATCCAAAACTGGTAAGGAGACAAACCAGGACCTATGTGACTTGCTACCATATTAATTTTCTAATTCCATAATATATTAAATGCGTGTTATTCCCACCCATGGCATATATCATTAAAGGTAAAACATCAGTATTTATTCAATTTATTTGGCAATGGCTATCTACCTGCAAGCAATGTCCATACAAAAGAATGTTGCATTTGCAGCTTGTGCCAGCTCCTTCTGCAGGAACATTGGGTAGGCATATATTTCACCACGGTAGTGATTCAAGCCTTGCAGCAAGATTCCATGTCTGCACACAGCTATTTGAAGGCCCTCTTCGTCCACCTTGGCCCTGGACTTCTGTGATATTTCTCTGCCTGCTGTAAATGTTGCTGGTCCGCAGACATCATGACCGGTCCTCTGAAAGTAGAAAAAATATGTTACCCCAGGACAAGTAAAAATAAATAAAAGGGTTATAGAGTTGAAATCCTTACACTTAACATCTGGCTTCTTATTTGGTCAACAAACGCAGATACTTTGGCATCTGGAGCAATGAACAGTCCATCAAAAAGAGATGGTTCGTCTGTCCTAAATGAGGAATTTATCGCCAAAAAAATTACAATCATAATTAAACGTTGCATTCACCTAAATTAATATATGACAATTAACAATAAAGGTGCCACACATTTTAGTCTGTATGAACTACATTTGATATGGAACACTGTGTTTAGAGTATCAGCATGTATTTGTCCTGTGGAAATTAATGCCTTAATTTGGCATTAACTTGAGTAAGAAGTACAAAAAACATACTGTTTGAAGTAAAAAATAAATAAAGAACACCTTTATTGTTGTTCATGTCTTGTTTTTCATGGAGAAAAAGTTCCTGAACAATTTACCAGATTGCGGTCATAGACCTGTAATATTACAAGCTTGTTTAAAACAGTACTATATGAAATTCAAACACTTTGCAAAAGAATTGCAAAAAGAAAATTGCAAAAGCATTTATGTTTAAATGTGAAGCAATCACACATGCTTTAAAATAAAAGTATAATTATATAATGACTACAGCCACCATTTTTGTGTTGAAGAAATATGTTTAGATGCCACAAGATTATTGTTAGTTTTTACAACAATAAGGTAAAGCATAGTTTCTTTATAAATAACTATCAGTTCATCCAACCGATAGCTATACTTGCTTTTCCTTTAGAGGGTAATGACATGGGGGGTGTAGTGCCTATCCCATCTAGCACTGGGTGAGAGGTGACATGCAGCATGAACATATCTGCCACTCTATTGCAAGGCTAGACAAAAGACCACTGCACCACCCTATATAAATAAAATGTTAAAAAAATTAAAAAGATTCCACTTACCCTTTTGACTTTTTGAACCGGTAATGTTTTCTATTACCGTCTACAGATATAGCCAGCATGTCTGGTGTGCATGCTGGGCATTTAAAGGGATCCATCAGGCACAGATCTTCTTTCTTAAAGTTGCAGAAGGCAAACTCCCGAAAGGCTCTATGGAATGTATCATCACAAATACTACCCGTCTGGAAAGAAGGATGGTATTATTTTGGTTAATAAAAGATTTTGAAGTCTGGTATTCAAACACTTTGAAAAAAAAAAAAAAAAAAAAAAAACAGCCCTTACCCGACCAGTGCAAAGAGATCGATGTTCAAGCATCCTTATAAATGCTTGTTGGGATAAAGCTGGGCTGGCTAATTTCATCTGCTCAAATGATGTGAACAGATCAAATTTGAACAGCATTTGGCAGCTGGTGGTTGCTGGCCAGTATCTGCATTCAAGCAAGTCACTAACCCCAGGAGTCCATTTAGAAGGACAAAGTGGGCAGCTTATACACGGCAGACACAGGTTGTATGAACCTTAAAACAAACATGTGTTTACTATTTGACCAGTATTTGTACAGCACAGGACAAAAGTATATAGTAAGCCACTTTTATGGTTGACTTCATCTGGTTGGATATAAAAAGGTAGAAGGAAGTGACAAAACATACCGTTGATAGTCACCAAAACAGTCTGCTTTCCTGGGAGAACTGTGAAGTCTTGGTTTGGACCACAGGAACAGATTTGCATTGGTAGAGGAATTGGAAGCATACACACTGCAGTACATTTCATAAAGTAATATCATTAATGTTTACACATTTACTCAACAAATTAAAAAATATTACTAAATAAATATATTCAGTTAAAGGAAACTGCAGAGGGCACCTACTACATTATCTGAACATACCTTGTTCACTGAGTTGATACTGACCACTTTCATCAACCACCACTAAGGATGTTGGTGGAATAGGTTTTAAAAAACCATCAAACATAGCTTCCCTATCATGAAAAACATTTTTTCTGTGGATCTCGGTGTCACATGTTGAACAGAAAAACTGATTTCCTGAGGGAACACAGTCTAGGCACCGGACAACAGCATCAACAGTTTTGCATTGTTGACAGCAATGCTGGGTTACTGTCTCTGCAACCAACATGCCATTTAAGATCTCTGGCATTGCAGCCCTGAATTTTCTTTCAGAGATGACCTGTCTTTTGGTCCATGCAGACAAGGTAGGTGTCTCTTCTACTTCCACTGATGCAGAGACAATGACAGAAGTTAACAGGTCTTTTAGCTTCTGAAGATGTTGATCTAAATGAATAAAAAGAAAATAATAATAATCATAATATATATTAATAGAATAGAATTAGGAAAAAGCCAGTTGCAATAACGAATTTTAATAAAGCAAATTGTGACATTTTAAATTTAAAAGCTGAAATTATTTAGGTTTTCAATTCAATATGCTTACCAAGACTTGGACCCTGTTGCGGAATGTCATTTATTTGCACCTCCTCAACCTCTGAGAGCTCCCTAGTGCTGGCAGGTTTAACTGCAAACACAAGATGTAATGATATAGAAAACATTACTGCTGACCAAAAGCTTAGACACTTGTGAACAACAGTATGCAATGCATGTATATTTTACTGACCAGATCGATTCTTCCTGACACGTTGTGGAAGGATGTTCCCATGCTGGTCTCTCTTCCTCCAGGAAACAGTGGAGACTTCAGTGCCCCTTTTTTTCCTTTTCTTTTTAGTCTAAAAGTAAAAACTAAATGATAAATATGGGAGAAGCATTTGCAATTTTCTTTTAAATTGATAAAAGATAGAGAAATGATAGAGAAATAATGTATGAAATACTTTTTGGGTTTCCAACTCATCAGCCATGGTTTTTGCTGCTTCCAGCCATTCATTGAATTGTTTTAATGACTCCGATGCCATTTGTAGATGTTTTTAGATAATATAAGTATAAAGTAAAAGCACAAATAAATCAAAACAGGAAAGAGAGAGGAGGAAAAAGAAACTGGCTCTTAAAGGAGCTGATTGATTTGTAAAATATTTCAGTGATGGGTACCAAAACCTGAAAACAAACAGATAAGATGATTAGTCAAAACAACCATGGCTCTGTAAGAGTCCACACATACTGGTCCTTGTCAACCTGTGTGTGCCTCCCAGTCGTTTCCAATCCTGGTCCTGGGGACCCACAACTGGGTGTGTAAGATAAAGGAGACTTTATGTGCAGAGCTGTGGGTCCCCAGGACCAGGATTGGGACCACTACACTAGTGGGTATTATTTATTTTGCATGTGAAGTGGGGACACTTAATATTCAACAATATTACTGATCTGCCAGTATTGACACCATTATATGAGAACTGGATGAGTGACATCACTGTTTTCTCCATAGCTTAAAAAAATCAAGCTGATTTGAAACAATATGTATTGTAAAAAGCACTATATAAATATACTGGGATATATTCTGGGATATAGCATATATTGGGAAACTGACAATGTTTAGGTATTATGCAAGTCTAGGCCATAATTTAGGCTTATTACTATTTGCCATCCATTTGAAATATAACGTTACTGTGCTACAAACTGAATTTATTTTAGTTAATTTTAAGGAATAATTTAGGAAAAATCCCATTAAGAATCCTGCTTCCATAGTTTATTGAAAACCGAGGATTTTACATGTAAGCTAGCAACATGCTGCTAGCGATTAAGCTAGCTGTTAGGTAGCATTAGGTAGCAACATTAGGTAGCAAGAAAATAACGTAAGTTACTTTCTTAATGAGTAAAATGGCAATCGCGACTGATTTGTAACACAGACGTCAAACTGCAATTATTAACTTCCACATGAATTACAAAAAACTAACACAAATATATCTAAATATAGATATATAAACACAATAGCACTTAAAATGTACACCTTACCTGCTACTACGTTACGACTGTCAAGGAAAAACCTGGTCACGCCCCCTCCTCTTCTTCTTCTCCTCATTTTTCTTCATCTTCCTCTTGGTTCATCGGTTTTATTATTTTTTTATTCAGCGCAACAAGAACGTGGTCATCGGTTGATATTGTTAAAAAAATAGCTATATATATATATATATATATATATATATATATATATATATATATATATATGTGTGTGTGTGTGTGTGTGTGTGTGTGTGTGTGTGTGTGTGTGTGTGTGTGTGTGTGTGTGTGTGTAAACACTGAAAATGTTTTAAAAGCACTTAGATGATATATATCATGGTTTTATCATCTGTAGTGCTTTTATTTTTTTTATTTTTTAACCTTGTTACAAAAGGTTAATTTTAAGTTATTTTAAAAATAAATAAATAAATAAATAATTGATAAGAGTTTAATTATTTTGAAGTGATTCTTTACTTTCCAATATTTTTTGAAGAAAAAAGCACATGAAATGCATTCAAATACACACCTCAGTTTTCTGTATTAAGTAATCTCGAGTAAATTTAATGATAACGACGGTCGTCATTTCATGACACCATTTCATGACACAGACCGTCATTATTAAAATGAGCGCTAGAGGGCGTTTAACTTTAAAACGTAAATATAGGTCGTAATGAGCTGTTTGCACATACGACCTTTATGGTCGTATTTGGGAGGAGGACAGTCTCGTTATAGCAGACGTACAAAGAAAACACCATATGAGTTATTCACAGGGAAAAAGCCAGATGTTTCGAAAATGCAGAAATTCGGATCAATATGTTTTGCTTACAAACAAGAGAAGAGCAAACTGGACTCAAGATGCGAACAAGGTGTTTTTATAGGCTACGACAAGAACAGCCCCGCCTATCTTGCATACTACCCTAACACCGGAAAAGTTCACAACACAGACAACCAGTGAAAGAGAAAAACGAACATCTGAGACACACACAAGGTATGAAAATTTGGTTTCAAATACCTTCAGCAGTGAAGTCAGTGCCGCCGATAATGTGGAGGATGAACCAGATCATGGTGGTCAAAGTGATGTTTCAGAGACTTTGCCCGAACAGGATGCTCCCAATCAGTCAGGTAGAGCAACAGAATCCGAGACCAGAAAGAATCCTCCAAGAACCAAGAAAAAGCCAGCTTACCTACAAGATTTTGAAACTGAGGATGCTGAAGACAAACTGCAAACATGCATAGATTTTTGCTACAGGGCAGTATGTGATATAGCTCAAACCTACCAGGATGCCGTAACATCAACAAAATCCAAGCAATGGAAGGATGCTATGGACAAAGAAATGCGATCATTGAAAGAGAACAAGACCTTCACACTCACCAAACTACCACAAGGAAAACAACCAGTCGGAGGAAGATGGGTTTACGCACTTAAGAGAGACATTGACGGATCTGAAAAATACAAGGCAAGATTTGTGGCAAAAGGATACAGTCAGAAACAAGGGACTGACTATGATGAGACATTCTCCCCAACAGCTGACATGACACGTGTGAGAATAGTTTTGCAGAAAGCAGCACAAGAAAACCTAATCCTGCACCAAATGGATGTCGAGACAGCTTACTTGCATGCACCTATAGATCATGAAATCTATATGGAAAAACCTGAGGGTTATGAGCAAAAATCTGAAAAAGATGGAAAATTAGTATGCATGCTAAAGAAATCTCTCTATGGCCTCAAGTAATCTGGTAGGAACGCTTTGTTGCCTATATGTTTGACAGAGAACGGTTTCACACAGAATCCAGCTGACAATTGCGTGTACACTAAAGAAAACACAGATGGGAAAGTAATCCTGATAGTATGGGTGGATGATTTAATCCTATCTGCTAACAGTGAAAGTGTTCTGGAGAGTGTAAAAGAAATGCTCACAAAAAGGTTCAAAATGAAAGACATGGGAAGGTTGAGACACTTCCTGGGAATAGATTTTGAACAAGCAGAGGGTCTAGTTAAAATGTTGCAGGAAAGATATGTGAGAAGAATACTAGATCGTTTCAACATGCAGAACTGTAAACCAAGGGAAACCCCATGTGAACCAAAACTTGATTTTACAGAAAATGCAGAAAAAATGAAAGAGTCAAAGATGTTCAGGGAGGCAGTAGGAAGTTTGATATACTTGTCCACCTGTACTAGACCAGACCTGAGTTTTGTTGTCAGTAAATTGTCTCAGTATTTTGCTGAACCATCAGAACAGCACTGGAACACAGTTAAACATGTGTTCAGGTACCTTAAAGGTACAGCAGAACAGCAACTATGCTTCAGGAGAAATGACACAGAGAGGCTAGGTCTGAGAGTGTATAGTGACGCTGACTGGGCATCTGACACAAAAGACAGGCATAGTACTTCAGGGTACTGTGTTAATCTGAGTGAAGAAAGCTCTTTGATCTCATGGAAAACCAGAAAACAACCGACAGTAGCGTTATCTACTTGCGAAGCAGAGTACATGTCTTTAGCATCAGCCATGCAGGAATGTATCTACCTAGAACAGTTGCTTAAGGGTATGGACACATACAAATATGCACAAACAAAGGTGTTCGAAGACAACCATTGGACTAGCCAGAAACCCAGTCTGTAGGCAAAGGTGCAAGCACATTGATATCAAATACCATTTCATAAGAGAAATTGTAAATGATGGCAAGGTTATCTTGGAATATTGTCCTACAGAGACAATGGTTGCTGACATAATGACAAAGCCAGCCACCAAGCAGAAGTTAAAGAGGTTTAGTCGGGATATGTTTGGAGTTTAAAAGTGTAAAAATGTTTGTATACATTCAATTTATGTAAAGAAGAAAATTTTATTTGATGTTTAATTTGATGTTATAAAAATACAATGGGCTAAGAGTGAGTGGGGGTGTTAAATGTATTGCACCCTTATACATTCTATTACGGTACCCGACTACCCGTATTGTTCTATTTGAAGGTATACGGTTATGTACGTGATGACGTTACGTTCTTCTTTACGTCTCATGCTTCTGAGTTGAGAAAAACATGTGAACTGATCGTGATGTTTAAGTGATGCTTGCTAATAAAATCCTGCAAGAGGATAAACAGCACTTAACGTTTCGTTTTTCCTGCACGAGTGAGAGTGAATGCGCACTCGGATGCTCAACAATTATTTTTAAAAATTGGGGTATTTTACAAATTGATGGATTTTTGAGAAATGTATTTCCAGATCCTCCAATGATAAGTTTTTTTTTTTTTTTTTAATTCAACCTTAGGGGACAAATTAGTTATAATAAAATAGCTATTTACCACCCACTCGTGGACACTCCTGGTTAGGGGTTAAAACTAAGGCTTGCTTTATATGCCATCACATTGTGAAAATGTTACAAGATAAGATAAAACGTTTCTAACAGGCAAACAAGATCTATTCTATTTAACTTTTTATTGTCAAACCACTCATGTTATTCGTAGACTGGAATGTCCTCAATGTAAAGTATTTTATATTGGAAGAACAAATAGACGGTTGGATCGTTTGGCTGAACATAAATATGGAATGAAGAATATCTTATGGCAAGACATTTTAAATGAATGCATAACACTAACCCTTCTATCCTGAGAATCTTAGGTATAGATCATGTGAACAGTACTATCAGGAAAGGGAATTGTGAACTAAAACTGAATCTATAAAGGCCAATAAATATCCAGGATTGAACGAAGACTTGGATTTTACTCCCTTCTTGTGATGTCTTTTATTTGTTGTGGTGTTTTTGAAAATGTATTGGTGAGTATTTAATGCCGCAAAGAGATGTTGATCACATGACAACTGTTAACTTATCAGATGTGTTAACGGATGAAACTGCTTGCAATTAGAGAATGGCAACATCAGTGGGATATGGAAACTAAAGGGAGACATTTATATGCTATACAAAGTAAAGTTGAGGCGGTGAAGAATAGGGGAGGGAATAGAAAAAAAGAAATAGTTATGACCAGATTAAGGATAAGTCACAGTAATTTGAATAGTACACTACACATTATAGGGAAGCACATAACTGTTTTTTTTTTTTTGGTTGTGGTCAGGTTGCAGAAACTATAAAGCCTGTGTTTTTGAGTTGCAGACAAAATGAAGAACAGAGGAAAAAATATGATGGAAGAGTTAGGAATAGTTGGAACAATAAGGGCAGGAATGAAGGAAATACTGGAAAGTGGGGAGAGTAAACAAAGAAGAGGAAGGATTTTTTTCATTTGTATCAAGAATAGGTATGATGAGAAGAATATGATGTAACTGGACATGATAGGAAATAAAGCCGGAAGATGGCGGTAGTGCAATGATAATGGATGCAAGCTGCCGTTAAACTCTAAAGAAGAAGAAGAAGAAAGTAACTGCTTGCACCTGTGACTGAGATTGTTATGTTGCTCTCCCCGAGGAATGCATGGGCCGAAACGTGTGGGGAGTTTTTCGATTTTTTTGTATGTAGCCATCTGACAATAAAGGGTTTTTAATTTTAAAGAGTGCCATGGTGATCCTAAAGTTTCCTTTGATGGAAAACTTAAAATAGGGCTGTGGCAGTCAACTTGAAGGTGGAATACCTAAGGTTTTTGCATTAAAATATCCCAAAATCACAAGGCCAGTGTTATATATTTAGTTAAGATGATAACTTACAATATTCCAAATGTTTCAAACAATGTTTAAATCGCGAGAAAATTTAGATTTTAACCAAGGAAACGGGGCGTGTGAGCAGGGGTGAGCTGGGAGTCGCCAGTCAATCGCGTCATTTCCGCATTACCTTGATTTCCGCTCGTACTGCGTGTAGTCCTGGACAAATGCAGAAGTTGTAGTTGTGGGTTAGCGTCTATCAAGTAACAAACGTCAGCTTGTTTCGCGCATTTTTTATGCAATGGAGCACAATTATTCTTTTCAATTATTCTCGGAAAGTGAACTCTTGGCTGTAAAGGGGGTCGCACACCGGACGAGCCGCGCCACGTACGTCTAGGACAACTCCAGGTAACACCGGACGCGCACGTTCTCATCAGTGTATGGCCAGCAATATTGTTATGTTTAATGGCATGAAAAGAAGATAAT